GTGATGCTGTTCATTCCTGGGGAGGAGGGGCTTTGCCTTTGGAGGGGGGGGGGGGGATCCTGCCTTGCTGGCGCTGCCCGTCTGCAGGCTGTCGCGTGATGCCCATTCTGACCTCGGTGGCTACCTGACGTTCTGAAGCCGTCGCCTGTCATACGATCGTGAAAAGCGACGGCTTCGCGCGTGCTTTCCCCCGACCAAACCCTGCAGCCTGCAGGCCGGGCCGGGGCTGTCTCGGGGGCCGACCAGGAGCGCCGCGCGGCCGCCGCTGGCTATCTGGACCGCGGGCCGTGCCAACAGCTCGCCTCCGGCCCGCGCTGGCAGGGCAACCTTCACCTTGAGCGCACATCCGACGCCAACAAACAAACCGAAGCTGGCCGTATCACCCGCTACATGACTGCGGAAATCCAAAAAATGGCATGGCCGGTGTTCCGTGACTGACTCCGCTGCCGTCCGCCGACGGCCCGGCGGACCGGTAGACAACTGGCGGGCGGCGGCCTCAGAGCCGCCGGCGGCCGCGCGAGGGGCTGCCAGCGTGCGGCCCGTGGCGGCCGTGCCGAGGGGCTGTCCGTTCGAGTCCCGAGCTGAAGTGGGGGTCGCGATCCCAGGCTTGGCTGGCGGGGTTCCGGTATCAGTCCCAGTCCGGCGCTCCGCTGACGGTTCCGGTCCCGGTCCCGGTCCCGGTCCGGTCATAGTCCCGGTCCCAGTCCTATCAAGGTCCCGGTTCCGGCCCTGCGTTGGTCCCGGTCCCGGTCCTGTTGTGGTCCCGGCTCTGTCGCGGTCACTGTCCTGTCGTGGTCCCGGTCCCAGTCCTGTCGCAGTCCGGTCCCGGGCGCCTGCTGTGACGTCTGGCAGGCCCCCCCGACCGCCGAGCCAAGTGACATCGCCGCGGCTGCCTCCCCGCCCCCCCCCCCCCCCGGCCCGGACGGAATCGTCGCTCGTCTGGCACGATGAGTGCCCACGCCAGCCCGGGACCTAGACCGATCAGCCTCCTTTACCCTCCCATCTCGTCGCGTGTGCTCCTCACCGCCTTGTCCCATGTCGTCGGGTGTGCTCCTCACCGCCTTGTCCCATGTCGTCGGGTGTGCTCCTCACCGCCTTGTCCCATGTCGTCGGGTGTGCTCCTCGCCGCCGGCGGCAGTCACAGGCTTGGTGAACGGGACGTAGATAAGGTGGCAGCTATCGGATTAGTGCGAATCGGAACACGTGTCTGGTCGCAAATAGCTGTTATTGGTTGAGCGCGACGACAGCGTTGCCTGCTTGGCTAGTTGGGTCGTGGTGCGCGTGATAGCGTTTTTTACTGTGCCAACTCGGTCTAGGATCGGGGACAGTAATTGGAACTTCGTGGGACACCCCGTCCAATGTCGCATGACCTAGTTTAATGTCACATGTTGATTATCGTGTTCCACTTTGGGCTAGCGTGCATGCGATGTGCTTATGTGGGAAACATCCTGCATGGTGACCGCGTTGGCGATGCTAGTGCCGACTGGCGGCCGCGCCGCCAACCGAGAACTTGTGTTTCCCGCAGATACCGCAAGCTGGCGCTGCGCTGGCATCCGGACAAAAACCTGAATAACAAGGAGGAGGCGACGAAGCGGTTCCGTGACATCTCAGAGGCCTACGAGGTTTTATCAGATGGTTAGTATGCCGCGGAGTTCGTCACATAATTACTTTATACAGGGCTCAGTCCTTTCAGAAGTCTATAAATATGGGACGGTCATACTCTGGGCGTGATCAGGCCGGTGGATGAGTGCAGTGGGGGGTGCACTATAGCTTATCATGGTTGCTCAAGTCTCGCATCCCTGATCGTGCCACCACACTGGTATTTTGTTGCGGCCGTCGGCTGAAAGGGCAATCTGGATGTCGGCCCGGCTGGCTGCCAGTCCCTGATCGTCCACCCTGCCCCCTCCCGTGCTGCCTTCCGTGTGTCCAGTTAAAAACAGGGTTGGTCACCCCTTTTATTTCCTGCTTCCTGCATCCAGCAACTCGGAAGTGGTCTACGGACGGAGGGGGCTCGAACTGGACCAACCTTAAGGGCCAGTACCAGTGTACAGTGCCCCATGTTTTCAAGACTGACTGGATTTTATGCGAGTGGTGGAATATGTACTGCAACCGTGCCCATGTCCAGTCACAATGAAGCCATTAGGCATTCTGGCACCAGATTATGATAGGGTGTAGGATGGATTATAGTCGTTAAGGCTGGGATCACCACAGCCGTAGCTCTCCCCTTGTTTTCTACTTCACCCTGTTGTGTTCCATGTTTTCTGTCATGGCGGCAGCGTAACACCACGCTTATTCTGGAATGAGCGAGAGGACTGATTGCGGGGGGTGTTCAGTCACTGCCAGTCGAGGCCCGTTGGGATGTGACTGGCGGGAGCAAGGCTGTAAAACGAGGTAGAGCAGTGCGCTTTCAGGACGGGGTCGAATTCGTGGATATGAAACTCCTGAACAGTGTCATCGCGGGTTAGCACGAAATCGGGCATTTGTGGTTAACGTGCTGCCGTGTTACTATCTAGCTGTGAACTCCCTTGGGAACCACACACATTCACACCTCTGTGATGCTTCAGGCAGCCAGTACCATTATGTGCCAGGCTTCAAAGAAGTGTTCGGATGTTTGCTCCCCCAATAGCGTGCACTCTGAGCCCCGTTGCATGCCAGCCAGTGAATGAAATCGATAACGCTAGACGAAAGGCATCGGAAACCAATTCCGAAATCTACCAACCATTGTTCACCGAAACGATTGTGTGGTTCGGTACAGTGTTAAGAAGCTCACAGCTTTCACTCATCGTCGCTATCAGCGGCTGCCTCGTTGCCCAAGTCCGTTTGTTTACATTTACTGCTTCCTGGCTGCGCCACAGTGACGTCACAGCTGAGTGCCTCATTTCCGTAATGCCAAAAGCGCCGGCTTGAGTCCCTTGTACAAGGGGATTGTCGTACTTGCCTTGAGTGGGATAGCGTGCCCGGCTTCGCCTCGTTAGTTGCTTTGCCACCGACACTAAAGCAAAGCGCCGCCCATGTACAAATTTAGCGTTCCTGAAAAGCTTTTCATGCGAACGTATGGTCGCGTCAGTGAAGCGTGGGACATCGGCAACGATATAAATTGCCCGGAACGGTCCTATTGGCACTGTATGCGGGGCAGATCTTCATACCAGTGCCGTCAGTAGAGCGTCACTTGGCGGCGCTAGCTGGGCGCGTGACGTCGAGCGCTGCCACCTCCGGAGCTGACAGGCGCCGGCCCCGTGCCGGCCGACGCGCCGCCCCGGGCTGACCGTCGCTGACCTGGCAGAGGCCAAGCGGCGGCTGTACGACCAGCACGTGCGTGCGGGCGCGGCGCAGCCCCCGGCGGCCAGCGCGCGCCCCACCGGATACGGCTTCTTCTTCACGCCCGGCTCCCGCTCCTCCGGTACCGGCGGCTTGTGTGACCCCCGCTGACCCTGCGTGACCTGGCCTGTGGTGACCGGGAGTAACCCTGCAGCTAGGCCAGACGCCGTCAGCCACTCCCCGGTCCTGCCAACCCGCTGGGCCGCCGAGAGGCCGCTAACCAGTGTTTGTAGATGAGTCGGATAGCGGCTGTGTACATTTGCGTAGTTCGTTCCCGGAACTAATTAGTGTTTACAGTGCCAAAGTTGAAGTGTGTACTTAAGTATCTTTTGCAGGACTAATTGTGCGGATTTTCAGTGTACCAGCTGTTCGCTACTCACCAATATTTTGGCTAGAAACGAGCGGTTGTGGACGGGCTATGTCGGCCTTTGATACATTTTTACACATGATCTTCGCGCGTAGTAACTAATACTAACTGCGTCGCGGTATTGTCTGTCAACAATCTGATGATATCGCATGTGTCTCTTACCCCAATGTCATAGAGGGGCTCCTTGTATTTAGCCGAGGGTATTCCATTTTCATAGCTTAACTACGGCATTATGCATGTGTTGATTTGTGGCGTCAGTGCAGATGTAGACCTTGCTGATAGTTCACATGTAATTGATTCGCCTGGATTTAATCTGGTCTTCAAAGTGATAGCAGTCGTGTTTGGCGTTCCACCGGTAGCCAGGCTGTCAACTTGGTCAGGTACGTTTCGTTACGTTCATCGCATATCGATGCGTAGAACAAGAAGTCGTCATGCCAAGGCTTTATTTATGCGCGGATAGTCGCGCTGCAGGTGCAGTCTTCATGGGGCTGGAACTATCGTCCAAAAATTCCACACTGGCACGTACGGCCACTGGCACGGACGCGTTTAGTGTCGTTCAAACTGACGACCGTACCGATTTTTGTCGTCACTTACCCGCGTGAGCGATGCCAGCCGTCGGCGCCGCTCCGCTGGCAGCGGCGCCGGTGCAGCGGGGCACGTCCAGGCCTGCCGGGACGTGCCGTGCCGCGCGCCCGGTGCCCAGCTCGGGGCCGCGGTCCGCGCCGAACGGCCGGCCGCCCGGCCGTTCGGCTGCCGCGGTCCGCGGCGCGCCGCCCGGGTGCGCCTGATTGATGGCTCGGGTAGCTCGGATTACGTGGCGCCGGCCGCCTTCATTTGTGTCCGGAAATGGAGTTTGCTGCCGCGGCCGCTGGAAGTGGGATGGGGCGCGATGTTGCGCCGGTTTCGGTGTTGTGAGAGCGCCTCCCGGAGAGGGGCCGCAGCCCCGGCTGTGATCACTGGGTCAGGCCAGCGGCGGCAGGAGCGCTGAGGCCGCGCTGGCGCTCATAGCGAAGCACTCTGCTGTCGGCTTCCCGGAAACGTCTGGCAATTTCTGGCAGGCGTGCCCAGAGTGGCGACACGGCTGTGCCCCGTCCCGTCTGGCAGCGCCCGCACCGATCGGCCGGCGCGGCGACCGGAGCTGCGCCCGCCCCGCCCCGCCCCGCCCACTGACACTGCCGCCGTCCGCAGACAAGAAGCGGAAGACGTACGACAAGTACGGCAAAGAGGGCGTGAGGAATGGCGGCCCGAGCCCGGCGCACGCGCACCAGTACCAGCACCACCACCACCATCACGGCGGCTTCCCCGACGACGACTTCAACTTCCTCTTCACCGGTTTCACATTCCGCGACCCGGAGGACGTGTTCCGCGAGTTCTTCGGCTCCGACCCGCTGTCTGACCTGCTGAACGGTGGGTGCCGCTGCCGGCGCGGCGCGAGGTCGCCTGATGGGTGCGCCGCTTACTCGGGGCTGAGGCGTACCGTGGAGGCGGCCTGTTTGACACCGGAGTGGAATACGTAAGCGGGTTTGAACGCCTCGAGGCTTTACGGGGCTACGTTCTCATGAATGTTAAATCAATGTGCCTTCCGCTGATAGCTGCGGCGGAAAACAGCACTTCCCAGTGAAAGTTACTCTTCCTTATTTTATTTTTTTATTGTTTTGCACGGTGCATGATGTCCCTAGATGAATTATTGGATCTTTCTCCGCAGTTATTTTGTCGGATGACGGGTAATTGCTACCTTCTCATGTGCAAATGTTTATAACCAGTTACAATACCATTTTGCGCGCAGCCATTGTCAGACGTGCCCTGTGAGCTATTTGGATAATGTGGGGACATTTCGCCGTGGATTTCGAAGTCTTGAAGCCGATCCGCGGCTGACGACCGTCAAAAGGGTCATTCATGCTTGTCAGCTCCGTGGGCGGCTGTTCATTGGCCGGCTTCGGGTCAGTTCGGCAGTCACGATCCAAACGAGTACGTGATGCGCTGGTCACGGACTCTCGCAATGGAATCAGCTCACTTAGGAGCGCTATCGGGTCGTTTGAAATCGCTCTTAGCGATGACGCACAGGCAAACACTGGTTCGGTTTTTGCCAGCTGTTGCTGTGCGGTTGACATGCAGCCCAGCTGTGTCCGGGTCCGTGACCACAATGGTCTTTGCTATCACGCTTGTCAGCTCGCGCCTGCACGCTCCCATCGTGACACGCTTCCGATTGCTGTAACACCACGTTTGTCAAATGTTGCCACCTGCTTCACGCCATGTTTCGGTCGTTGTTAGCAGGACTGCGCCGCACGCTTAATTCGCCGCTCTTTTCACGCCATGTTCGCGTAGTTGTTCTCTGCGCATTAGCTGACTCGGCTGCCTGCCTAACGCCTGGGTGTTTAACGCCTGGGCGTCGGCCCGTCTAACGCCTGGGCATCGGCCCATTTAACGCCCGGGCGTCGGCCCGTTTAGCGCCTGGGCGTCGGCCCGTTTAACGCCCGGGCGTCGGCCCGTCTAACGCCTGGGCGTCGGCCCGTTTAACGCCTGGGCGTCGGCCCGTCTAACGCCTGGGCGTCGGCCGCCGCTTCCGTCGCCATTCGCCTTGACCCCGCTCGTGCGCGGCGCCCTCCCACAGACTTCTTCTCGCCAGGCATGCTGGACCCGCTGAGCGGCGGCGTGCCGCGCCGAGCCCGGCCGGGCCGCAGCCGCGGCTCGCGCCACCCGCCGTCGGCCGGCGCGCCCGCCTCCCAGCTGATGTCGCCGGCGCTCTTCTCGCCGTTCGGTCTGGGCGGGCTCGGCATGATGTCGTCGTTCGCCGCCATCGACGCCATGATGGACGGCATGGGGCCGGGCGGCGGCTTCGTGACCGCCGACAGCTTCAGCACGCACATGGGCCCCGGCGGCGCGGCCATGAAGCGAACCTCCACCAGCACCAAATACGTCAACGGCAAGAAGATCACCACGCGACGGTGAGCGACGGGCGGGCTGGGCAGGGTGTCGTGAGTTGCCGGCCACTGGTGCCACCCGGAGTCACAAGGTCATGTCAAATGGGCGTGCCGTTTATGGACATAGATTGAGCTGATAGCTGTGCATCTAGCATGATGACTTGGGCCGCCGCTCCCGCGGGCGTTATTTGCGCCACGTTTCGCCGGAAGCGCTTCACGGCCTTTGAGTGTTTTTGGATGTCAGTCATCTGTTTAGCCTAATCTGGCTGAGAGCAGTTTTTAGCGTTTATTTTAAGGGAGCCGGCGAGCCTTCCCCAGGCGTTTCTGTGCGCGACAAACGCTGGAAGGCCGGAAGAGCCTGGCACGGAACGAGTCTCGGAAGCATTATTAAATTACTCCACGGTTTGTTGGATTGAGATGGGGTCTGCGTTGCTTCTGGCGGATAACAAGCTAGCGGTGCTAACTTTATGCAATTACATTAGCGTTCCTGAAATGCCGTGTTAGGCGTCGTCGACTCAATCTCAAAACGGAAAGTTTGGCTATTTTGTGGGTGTGGATTAGCTGGGCTGTCGGCGAGCTAAGTTGTGTGTTGCCCAGGTACATGAAACACACCAGGCCAACCGGTCGAATTCGCGACCTTCAATGAGCTCAGCGATCACTGGCGTAGGATCAGCGGCCCTTCTCCGGGCGTTTGCTGCACACAGTATGATTGTATGTATCCGAGCCTCCCGCCTTTCCCCTCTTTACGTCAGGCTATCCTGATATCAATTAATTAAACGCCAACGCTATCGACGCTGTGATGTTGACCTCACGTGGCGCCGCTCGCTCTTTGCTTAAGCCCTGACGTGGCCCTGCCGCTCCACGTTCGACGTGCGTGGTACGGAAGACGCCCTCACTCCTCGCACGCCGCTCGCGCGCCGCCGATGCCCGACTCGCAGTGTGTAACACCCGGCCGCCTTCCGCAGGGTGTACGACAACGGCCGAGAAACGGTCGAGACGTACGAGAACGACGTGCTGAAACAGCGCCTGCTGAACGGCGTGCCGCAACGCGTCTCGGCCCACGCGCGCTAGCCGCCGTCGCCGGCGCCGAGCCAGTGATAAATCAGTCCGCGTGTCCGCCGGCGCACCGGCCGGCCGGTCAAATCCGAACACGAGTGGAGGCGCGCCCGCCGACCGCCGCGCCAGGCGCGCTGACGCCGGCCGAAATCGCCAGTCGCCGCAGCTTCGTTCGCGTTTTATGTGAATGCCGGCGGAGTGTGGCGCAGTGAGACGGGCACCGCCGCTCGAGCGGCGCGGCATCAGGGACAGCCCCGCGTGGCGGGACATGGAGTCGACGGGATCGCCCCGTCTGACGGGACGTGGAGTCGCCAGGACCGCCCCGCCTGACGGGACGTGGAGTCGCCGGGACCGCCCCGACTGACGGGACGTGGAGTCGCCGGGACTGCCCCGCCTGACGGGACGTGGAGTCGGCGGGGCCGCCCCGCCTGACGGGATGCAGAATCGCCGGCACCGCGTCGCCAACGGCGCTCATAGCTCCGCCCAGCATGTCCGTGCCCGGCCGTCATGACACCGCGACTGCGGTGACTCCGAAGACTGCACGGCCGCTGCCGTGCGTCGCGTTCGCGTGCGGAACCGCGGACCGCGCGGCGCGAGAGGCGGGCTCGCCGGCGCTTGGGGTGGGCGGGGACGGCTCGGCCGGGACGGACCGGCCGTGCCGCGGCCCGCCGCCACCTGCGAGCTTTCAGTGTCAGTGGGGAGGGGGCGCTGCCCCGGCTCCGTCTGTGACCCAGGCGCGGCCAGCGCCCGGGTGCCGCCGCGGGCCGCTTGTTCGGCCTCCGTTACTTTGCGTTCAACCGGGAGAGGCTTCAGTTGGTTGGATATTAATACAGATCTTCACGTGGTGGTTGCGTGTGCCGGGTCATCCCTGCGGCGGAGGCGCCATGATCGTCCGACCGCTGGCGACCGTGGGAGGCGGCCGGCTGGAGTGACCGGCCATCAGACCGAGCCGGCCGACGCGCCAGCAGGCCGGCCGCTGGGCACAGCTGCCCTGCACGCGCCCGGCTCCTTGCCGGCGAGGGGGGTGGGGCACCTGTGAGCGCATGCCATCGTGTGGCGGTGGTGTTTAACCCTCTGTTTACGGTGCTGGTGGGCGCGGCTGAGCCAGCAGGCGTAAGTGATGAAGTGAACTTTCGCAACATTGCTGAATTGACCTAACCTCCCAAGAACCACGAAAATCACAGGCAAACACAGCTTTCCGTGGTTAAGCAAATGTTAAGATGAACTGTTAAGTTAGGTGTTTCTCGTTATTTGGGGACTCGTCCATGGCTCAATGTCGATTGCAGCAAGTAAACAAAGGACGTTATAAGCTGTTCTACCCCAAAGAAGTTTGATGTTTTTCATGTCCCATGTAGTTTTGTACTGCGAAGAAATATGAGATTTTTGCATTCGTCAGGATTATCAGCACCCGTCAGCAGACCAGTACCTGTCGCGGTTCAGACTCCGAATCTTGGCAGATTTTATCTCGAATCTTGGCAGATTTTTGGATGTCGGTATGAAGGTATCTCAGGCTGATTTAGACATGCAGTGCTAATATACTGCGAATGTTTTTCACTCACTTCTCGCCTGGTGATATTGGTGGGTTCAGGTTTTGTCGCAGTGGCTCTATACCCAGCAACAGCATCATTATTGTAGTTCCACGGGCATAATTGAGCTGAGTTCGTCAAGATAGAATGTTTATCCCGACTTATTTGTCTCGTCAATTGTATTTCTGTTCATATAATGTTATCAGGCAGCCACGCGCTGTGTGGATATAATGGCGCCATTGAATAGGAAAATAATTCAGCTTATTACTCAAATGCAACGTCAGTTACATGAAGCGCGACACCATGCGCGCAACCAGAGCCTTAGCAACGTGGCACAGGGTTAACGATGGGACCGTCAATAGTAAAAGCCCCCCCTTCCCCTTAAACAAAATCGTCGGATGTGGCCTCTTTGTTAATAAGGGCATGTATTTCTCCGGTATTTTTACTTTTATTTAACTGGAACAGAAGCAAGAAGCTACCGCGAGATGACTACTACCCGAATTTCATAGCCAATCACGCGAAGAAAACGCGTTGAGCGACTCCATGAAGTACATCCCCAGCGCTCTTCATTTAGCAATAGTCTAGCGGTCTTCTATGCCGATAGCACTCAGAATCTTTGTTAGGATTTCTAGCTGGGTTGTACAAAAATATTACGGGCCTTGCGATTGTAAACTGTAGATCGAAATGGATGAACCATTTGTATTGACATGACCAATCTATGTTTGTCCAGAATTGTTCAATTTTCAGTCGGAATCGATTAGAGACGCATATGATGCAGCGTGGTTTTGAGCATGCGCGGTCGCAAACCTTAACAGCAGAAACCTAGACGCCAGGCGTTGTAGTCTCCGTCGGCTCCATAGCGTCGGCGCCGCAGCTAACACTAGATTGTGGTCAACGTGTGGACGGGAACGATGGCGCATCGGAAGGAAGCATCTTTGAAAGCCTTAGGTCATATAATCACACATTTAGAAGGAAGTCCGAGCGTATATTTCGCCTGCACCATTTTGTATTGTGATAACAGAATCACATATGGTACACTGATAACAGAATCAGTATTGTGATAACAGATAACAGACAGATATGGTCTGAGCACCGCGAAGTGGTGCTGGAATCTTGTGGAAATGGAAGAGTATAGGTAGAACTATTTTTTCGTGTTACTGTCATTGTTGATCTGTCCAGGGAGCAGTCTCAAAGTTGTCAAAACAATATGCGCCCACCCTCATGTTTGAACGGTACTAATTAAGTTGGAAAAATGCACTTAGAACCATTACTTTACGACGGTCGTTCTAGCGCACACGGCGCCTGCCGCCTGGTGTTACTTGCAGCGGCCAACGCCGTTCGGTGTTACAGAAACTGCAACCCAGGCCGTCGCTGTTCTTGCTGCGGGCGCGCCGGCTCAAACCTTTTAATAAAATTTGCCTCACTTTTCGATTCTACAAAGGAATGCATCTTCTCGGACAAACATGGGATGGCCTTGTTCTTTTTTACCTCATTTCGACTCACGTATTCAGCACTAATGAGATCCCATAGTTCTTTCCGGGAGAGGAGCCCTCTTAAGGAGAACAATAGGGGGCGCATCATTGTTCCCAGTGGAGGGCTGAGGGGTCATTCCGTTCCAACGCGGGGTGCCTTCCGGCTGTCATTCGGGCAATACAGGGCTGGTCCTCTGGCCGATACGGAGGCCCTAAGATGGATACGTCGTATCACATTGGCTCCTTCCCTGGCGCGGGAGGCCTTCTGATCCGCGCAGTTTGGCCCTAACCGACACAGGAGCCCAAATTGACGCAACAACATCCCTGATCGCCTCATATGGTCCAATAATTGGCGCGTAGACTTCAGTTCGGCTTAACGTGTCCGTGCTGTAATTGGGTTGGAGGGCCCAACGTTCGGCGCTGGGGTCCGAACTGGCACAAGACACTTCCATTGCCTCAATGTGAACATTCATGAGTTTTTCATGCTCTCTTTCATTGCCAGAGGGCCCAACCAACGCAAGAGGCCCTATGTCATTCGGGGCCCCGTCCCCTCCCCCGTTGAGCAAATGTTCCCCTGACGAGCTCGAGGCCCCTTGTTGACGTAAAATACCCTGTTAGGAACTGTTGGCTCCTGACCGAAACAGGGACCCCACATTGTTGCAGGGGGCCCGATCAATGTGTATTACTAGCACAGTCTTGCCTCTGCTTGGGAAATGGGACCCTCAGAGCTCAGACCGACACAGAGCCGACTGTTCGTTGTTTGCTGTTTGGTGATTCCTGGCCGAAATAGAGAAACGCTCTGTCTCGGGGGTTCCCAAGCGGTGCAAGAGGCCCTCTAACTGACGGTTAATATTACGGCTCTACTAGTGCTGGTCCTTGATGCGACCTACAGCCAGCCCTTCGGACCCTGAAACTTCCCGATCTGGCCCTTGATCTTTGGTCTCCAAAGACTTTTCGGCCCCTCTTCGGGAACCCTCAGACACTGCTCCTGGCCGACTCGGGGCCACTTGCCGATGCAGGACCCCTGTTACGTACTGTGACTCCTGACCAACACAGGAGCCCCACGTTGTTTCAGGGACCTGAACAACTGCAACTGCAACTGCAATTGCTGCTGCAAACCGCTGGCCTTGGCCTCGGCATCGCTCTTTGTTGGGAAATGGGTCTCAAGGGCTGAGACGAATATGGAGCCGACCGTTGGGCTCCATTTCGAGGCCCTGAATAATATGGACAGACAACCCTGCTATAAGGCTCTAAGATGGTCCTCTGACTGACATTTCATGTCACGGCACTACGGGCGGGAGCCGGGCCGCAGTCCAATCGGTCTCTTGATCTTCGGCCCCGAGGGGCCCTTCTTCCACTCTTCGGACCTCCTCAAGCAAAGCTCGTGACCAATTAGGGGCCATTAGCCGGCACATGACCGCCTGTTAGGCACTATGGGCCCCTGACCGATACAGGGGCCCAATCAATGTTTCAGGTACCTAGAAAAATGCAAATCGTGGCTCCCAACTTGCTCCTGCTTGGGAAATGGGCCCCAGGATTCAGACCGACAGGGAACCAACTGGTCGGCGTTCGTGGTCTCTGGCGGCCTTAGACACACACGTTGTTTCATGGGGTTCTCAAACGGTGCAAGATGACCTATGACTGATATTTCAGGTTACGAACCCCCGGGCTGCGGTTCTTTATAAGACATACAGCCAGTCCTTCGGGCCCCTTTGCCCTCCATTTGATCGTCGATTCCGGTGGGCCGCCCGGGCCCCTCTTCGGGCCTCACCAAACACTGCTCTAGGGCGGCTCGGGACCTCTTGCGAGCACCGAACACCCTCTATCAGGTTCTGTGGGCCCTTGAAAGATGCAGACGCCTCGACCAGTGTAAAGCACTGGCCCCGGATTTGTAGCTGAATGGGAAGTAGTCCCTTAAGCACATAGTGCTACGGAGCCGACTGCGCAGTACTGGTGGTGCCTGACCGGTATATAGGTCCACTTCGACTCAGGGGGCTCGTGATCGGCGCAAAGGTCCGTCCGACTGTTATCTGAGGGCCCGTCCCCGCAGGCTGGGCGCCTGAATATGACTGCGACCAACCGTTCATGCCCTTAGACCCTCAAATCGGGCCCTTAATCGTAGGTCTCGGTGAGCCCTCCAGGCTAGTCGGGCCTCCCCGAACACCGCCATTTGAGTGCCGGGCGCTGCGGGCCGGCCTCCTGAATACAAACTCTGGCCAACCTTTCGGGCCCTTGGGACACTCAAATCGGGTATTTAATCGTAGGTCCGGAGGTGCCTGAAGGGTCCTGGGAAAATAGGGGACAGGATGTGCCCCATGTGCCCCCTGCCTGCGCCACTGTGCCACACTCGTGGCTGAAGATGCTGTGTGTGGGGCGGGGAAGCGGGAATTTAGACCCCTCGCAAATCTACGTCACAGTGCCCACCGACTCGCTGGCGGGGCTGCAGCTGGTGAACCGTCTTCCCGACTCCCAGCAGACGATCCGAGCTCAGGAGGTCTGGGTGCGCTGTGAGCACTAACCGCCTTGTGAGCACTAACTGACCACACCACACTTCATGGGGTCCGGACCTTGCAGCACTGTAGGGCAATGGGGTCGCCCCAATCGTATTGAAACCCTGCTGTTGACTCCGGCCAACAG